AGTCCCAACAGCTAGGGGTAAAATTCCAAGCACACATAGTGTCTACTTGACAGGAAAGCTGGATGGCCAAAAGTGCAACTTTGTAATAGATTCTGCATCTCAGCAAACCCTTGTGAGTATCAAGGTGCTGGATCATAAAGGAGTACCAGAAGCTGTACAGATAAACCTAGCTAATCAGTACCTCAGAGTCACTTTTCCTTCAACTTTTAACAGGACAATTCCAGAATTTTGTTTTTAATTATGTTTTATGTATATGTACCTTTAAGCTTAATTTGAAACTAAAGAATTTCTGAAATTCAGATTTAAATTCATTCCATTTAAGACCTTCAAAGTGTCTGATGTATTAACCAGCTTTAACTGCTCCTCCACAAGAATACATTTACAAGATTAAAAGGCATCTTTCCACCTGTAGCAAGATTTATATGCAAGTACATATAAAGACTGTCTGAATTAAATTAAAAGAGTATTGTCAAACATACTTACAGATCTTTGACAAATCTGTACATGGGACAGCAATTTTAACATCAATTAGGTCAGTTCTACAGGCTAAAATACCAAAAAATAAGTGAACATCTTGATTATTTATCAAAAGCCAGTTTTGGATAAAAACCTCTACAATATGTATTTCTCATCTTGAACAGTTGATAGATGGAAACAAGATTGAAAAAGATGATCACATAATTCTTAGCTTGTTAAGAAAAAATTGGGAAGTTTAAAAAATTATAAGTCTCCTTAGCCAGATAATATTTCCCCAAGGGTTTTGAAAGAGGTTAAGGATTGGATATGTGAACTGCTTGCTACTATTTTTTGTAAGTCCTTGAATAGTGAGCAGGTACCAAAGGATTGGAAGTTAGTTGATGTCACTCCTCTTTTCAAGGGAGGTAATAAAAATTGTCCTAATAAATATAGGCCTATTAGTCTTACATCTGTTGTGGGAAAGGTTTTGGAAAGTCTGATAAAAGATGCTTTTCAAAGTCATTTTAACAAAGTTTAGAATTTTATTGGATAGTCAACATGGTTTCACTAATGGAAAATCTTGCCTTACAAATCTTTTGACATTCTTTGAACACATTATTGCTTTTGTAGATGAGAATAAGGGTGTAGATATGGTTCACTTGGATTTTCAGAAAGCATTTAACAAGGTGCCACATAAAAGGCTTGTAAAAAAAAAAGTATCTCTATTGGTGTGGGGGATAAGTTAGCTAATTGGATAGAAGAGTGGCTGGATGGAAGAAAGCAGAGGGTTTTTACAAATGGAGTTCAGTTAAACTGGATTAATGTCACAAGTGAGATACCTCGGGTCTCAGTCTTAGGACTTTTGCTCTTTTTGACTTACATCAGTGATATAGATGAAGGAATGGTCAATGAATTACTTATATTTGCTGATGATAATAAGGTCTTGGGTGTTGCTAACTGTGAAGAGGATGCTGCTGCTTTATAAGATGATTTAGATCATTTAGTGAGTTGGGAAAATGGGTTTTAATTATAATAAATGCAAGATAATGCATGTGGGTTATCATAATTTGAATTACAAGTATAATTTGGATGGGAATAGCCTTAACAGTGTCATAAAAGAAAGGTATCTTGGTGTAATAGTTGATCAGTCTCTTAAACCATCCACTTAGTGTGCTGTTGCTAGTGGTAAGGAGAATACAATTTATATTCTATCTACAGAAATATTGAACACAAGTCTAAAAAAGGTTATAATTTCATTGTATAGGTCACTAGATAGGCAACATTTGAAGTATTGTGTTCAGTCTTGGGGTCCTTACCATAGGAAGGACATTGAATTGTTGAAAAGGGTTCAGAGAACAGTTAGTAGAATGGTGCCTTGGATGGAGTATTTGTTATATGAGGAAAGATTAAGATCTTTAAAATTGTTTATCTTGAAAAAAAAATGAGTCAGAGAGGATCTGATTGAGGTGTTTAAGATTGTAAAGGGAATTGATAATGTTGATGTATCATCTTTTTTATACCTAACAGCGAGAATAGTAGGACTAGAGGACACAAGGTACGAGTCATATTCAGTGTAGTTGGCCTCTGGAATGGGTTGCCTTCAGATGTTGTGGAGGCAGTAAAATTAAGCGAGTTCAAGAGAAACTTTGTTATATACGAATGATAAGGGCTAGCTTTAAGATTTTTTTTTTACTATAATAGTTTATTTAGAGGATGGGACAATCAAGATTGACCAACAGGTCCTTTGTTGTCCCTAAATATTATGTTATGTTATTTCAACATTTTTATATTATTTCTATTCCATATGATTGTATTACATTCCTCACTTTTTATTGACTTACGGTACTTTATGACACAATGAAGAGTATACCATGATAATTTTGTAGCCTTTGCTGTTTTCTTGTTTCAAGATATAACTATGTTCAAGGCATCGGGTACATTTTTTAAGAAAATGTTTGAAAGTTGAAAATAATTATTTTAATGTGTGTCCTGAAGCTTTTATTAAAACCTCAAGTATGTATCTCTTCATTATACATGTTTTAGTCAGTATTAAAACATTACTTCAAAGCATATTTTGCTGTAAGTCATAACCTTGTATTACTATTTACATTCAGAAAAAAAAATCTGGTGTTGTCTAGTGAGCAATTAATGACTTTTTATTCTGTTAAAGGTGTAATTTTTTTTATAATAAACTTTTCAATTTACTATAAAATGGGTATTATTTCAGACTGTAATTTCTGAAGCATCATACAGTACATAAACCTTGTATTTTTCACAGTCATTTAAAAAAAATCTGTGAAAATGATCACACTGTTGAACCACATTAAAATAGAAAATTTTAATTTAAAACATTTTTTTTTGTAACTTACTTGAAATCATGTTACAATATCATATATATATAATCTGTAAAAATATCCTAAACTTTTGTTATTTCACAAAACTAGCAGATGTACCCATGAATGCACAGTGGTAAGTTTATGAAAGTTTTTTTACAAAATATGTCGGTGGCAATATAAAGATTAAAAGTACACAAGAAGAAAAAATTATTCATGTCTGCTGGGTTTGACTGTTTAAATAACATTTTATTTTCTATTTTAGTTTTTATCAAAAAGCAATAAGTAACAGGTGACTTAAAGACATCTCACTTCATATAAGTGTGCATCTTGAAAGTATCTTTAAACAATGTGTGGAAAAGAAATTCCTCAAATGATTGATGGAATCTGAAAATAAAATACAGTTGTAGAATTAATGTTTATCTAGTTATTAACATAAATAGTTTTTCTGTTCTTGTCCTAAGTATGCCTGATTGATAGTATGACTGACTATATGTATGCCCCAGGAAATGAAATAGGAAACTGGAGAAATCCCATCACTAACCTTAGTGGGCACCCCCACTGACTGATCTATATTTATCGAATACTGGGACTAAAAAATGATAGAAATCTATGCATTTTAAAACAAAAATAACTTCCTGACACATCAGGAATCATTCCTAGTTGATTAAACCATATTTGACAAGTCCAACTGCCAAAGCTTAGGAGGAGTTTGAGAACAAACACACAAACAAACAAACTTCTTTCAAATAATATTAATAGTACTTATTAGGATATGAGGGTAATATGATACAAATTCCTTTCTCCCCATATTATAATTTGCAATAAATATATTCGAAATCCGTACATTAAATATTTGTTATTCTTGATTACAATTTAAAAAAGTGATTACGTGACTATCTACAGTACAACAGTAGTTCACAATCACAACCTTTCTTTATGCCGTGTGCTTTCAGTTGCACTTATGAGCAAGCAGCACACACCTAACACATATAATTGTTAAAAAAATCTTATGAGTATTTTTTATTAATAAAAAGGTAACTCAAAGAAATATTTCAAGGGTGAGTCAATCGTAAACTAACACTAAATACTGGTTACTGTAATATACGTTGGTAATTCATCAAGGCTTAATTACTTAATGGTTTTCAGAGGTTTTCCATTAACACCAGAAACAACGACACTGAAACTGTGAAAATTAATGGTCTCAGGGTACTCCACTGGGAGTAGGAACATAATATTATATAGTTGTATAAACCGATTATTTATTATTTTGTATTATTAACTTGCCTGACCAAAGAACGTCGAAAGACTATGAATCAGCCTTTTGATCATACTCAGTTTTTATAGTAAAAAAAAAAAAAACTTAAAAGAAAAAAGTAGAAAAAAACGTACTACTTACTTTTCCTTTCTCTTCACAGTACAGTAAGTATGGAACGTTGTATCGTGAAGCGATAACTAATGGCCATCGTTTTTTAGTCTTGACTTTACCAAGAAATTTGGCGGAACCATGGTGAGGGTTACATAACCACTGGAAATTAGGCTCGCCATTTTTAAGAGTTCCATACACAAAGACCAAATGTCGATTTTCGGAAGTCATCGTTGTTGCACAATTGATTCGTATGATACTGTCACGTGAAGAACTTTACGTTTGTACAGATGAAAATGAACTGTAATAAATTATACAGCTGTGTTTTGTATTGCACTTTTCTTTTAACTTTAAACCAACTAGCAAGCGTAACAATTACTATTATTATATTCAGTGGGTTTTAGAAAAATAATACGAGGAAAAGTTTAATATATTAAAAGTAAAAATAATTCTAGTAAACATTAATCAATGCTGGGGAATATTGGTGGTGTCATCTGTTGGACATTGCAGAGATGACATTCTCATCTCTGCAATAATATAGTTACTGTACTGTACTTCAGTTTAGTCTAAACTGACTACTTAAATTTAATTGTTGTAAATTCAAAGTTTTAGATTTAATTCTGAAGTAGACTGAATTGCCCACCCCTTTTTACCTGCTATCGTATTGTATGGAATTTCATTCCTATGGTGAGTGGTCTTATAGTACAACAGTCTTTCCTTCTCATTGGTTTGTTGGGTTACAGTGTGTTCAAACATAGCCAATACGGCTCACTGCTCCGACCTGCACGTGATCAATGACAACTTCTCCTTGTGTGACATAGTGAAATTAACACAGAGTTAAAATTACATTTGATTTGATGTTATTTGCGAGCTTTTCATGTAGGAAATGTATAATTGTAGCTTTGAGATGTAGAATTTATCCAAAGTCATTAAACTACAAAAGTAGAACAATTAGTCATATATTTGATAAAGATTGTACATTATTTCTTAAATTGATCTCAGTGTTCTTGTTTTTTCAAATATTTTCATGTATTTTAAATTAATATATTTGTGAAAGAATGTAGTCTAAAAATGTTACTGAATGAAGTATTATTGATGAAATAATGTGAGATAATAATTATGAGTGTTGGCACTTATTTACAAAAATAGATAAATAAATCCATTCTTTATCTTCTTTCCGCTCTTATAGATAACAGCACTCCAAGGAAAATGCTTGTTTCGGAAACTTGCTGAAAGACACTCAAGAGATATATGCGTTAGTTAGTTTTTATAGAGCAAAGCTACACTGAGTGTCTGCTGTGTCCACTGTGTGGAATTGAACGCTGGACTTTAGCGTTGTAAGTCCTTAGACTTACCGTTGTCCCACCGGGGAACGTTCATTAGTATTCCCTTATTTTGAATTGAGAGACTAGAAAGAAAGTAGCTAATCAAAAGCACCATCTGTTAAATTGTGGGATACTATAATCAAATAGTAGGATTTGACCGTCACTCTTCTAACGCACCAGAACCCCAGTTGCAGAACCAAGTTTGGCGATAACAGTACGTGAACCATAGACCATACGATTCGAAACCCAGCACGCTAACTACTAAGCCACACCAGTCCCAACCGAGAAAATGACACACAAAGGTTAGGCAAAGTGAGAGATACTACACAAAGACAATGCAAAATGAATGAGAGCAAGTATAATAAATGAGGTTTAGAAATAAAAGACAATATGATATGTATATTACTGTAGGATGTAAAAATGTTATCAACTTTTCACGGTGATTTTTCATAAAAAAATTTATATTTACAAATACGACATAGTGGCAGTGATAGGATATAAAACTAACGGAATATTTACTGTCGTTGTATTTAGGTAATACAAATATGGTATTTATTAGGTCTCTAAAGATATTCACTAGTTGCAAATAGACATATATTGAGGTAAGGCTTGACTAACAATAAAAAATTTAACATGACCTCACAGGCTTACATCAGGATAGTCCACATATATATAATAAATAATATTACTTGTGTCCCTTTTAAGTTGCTCCATAGTTGCTAAAAACCGGATTTCACTACCCGTGGTGGGCACAGCACACATAGCTCATTGTGTAACTTTGCGCTTAACAACAAACGATCAACCTCATTAACTTTACACTGTAATATACATAACAGACTATGAGTGAAATTTACCCTCCCACCTCCTTTCCTGTGGCTCAGCACAAAGTCTGAGGACTTATAATGCTAAAAAGTGGACCATCAAGTTTCAAGACCTGCGGTGTGTTGATCACAGATAAGTCATTGTTGTTGTTGTTCTTTTTGCTAAGCAACAAACAAATAAACTAACTATCAAACTTTGTTACAGAAAAAAATATAAATTTACTTTGAACTGTGAATAACATTTTTTTTTTCTAGTTAATTCACAAACACTGTTTATCCTTGTTGTTTTTTTATGCTAATGTTATATATTCTCTGCAACATTTGAATGAAAAGTATCTATTCATGAATTTGACCAGAATTCAAAACCGAGGAAGTTTATTTTGAAAGAATGAAATGTTATTCAAATTATCGGGAAAGCTTAAAATTTTAGATGGTTATCGAGCCCCCTAGTGGCACAGCGGAATGTCTGCGGACTTACCAAGCTAGAAACCGGGTTTCGATACCCGTGGCGGGCAGAGCACAGATAGCCCTTGTGTAGCTTTGTGCATAATTAAAAACAAACAAACAATTATAATCGATTTTGGCATTCTGATGCAATTTCGTTGAGTTTATAGATTTCGTATAGGCCTAAATATACACATTTTACAAATTATTTTATTTGTATGATCCGTTTCAGAGATGACTTGAAAATACCTAGTTAGATTGCTCTTTCAAATTGAACAATACTCAAAGAAAGTTTTTGGTCAGATTTGTTTGAATTTTGTTCGTGAAAAAATGGGTTTATTTTAGCGCAAAGCTACACAACAGACTATATGCACTCTGTTCACCGGGGAATCGAACCTCCCATTTTAGTATTGTAAATTCGTAAACTTACTGCTGATCCACTGGGACTGGGGATGAAGAAAAGTAAAATTTGATTTATCATAGTATGCTCTTAAACTGCAAACACCAAAATTACGTTGACTTTTGAATGTTATAGTTTGTTTGTTTTTTCTTAACAAGCAAAAATACGGCCCTCAGAGGGACAGCGTTAAGTTTACGGAATTACAACGCTAAAATCCCGGGTTCAATTCCCCATGGTAGACACAGCAGGTAGCCAAATGTAGCTTTGTTCTAGAATAAACAAACAAATAAATGCAAAACACAACAAAAGAAAGCGATATTTCTTTGCACGTGCCTCCAGTGGCTCAGCAAGTCTGCAAGATTATGACGCTAAAAAACGGGTTTCGATATTCATGGTGAGAGGAGTACCCATAGTTCGTTGTGTAGCTTTGCGTTTAACAACAGTGGTGATACGAGTATACATAGTTCGTTGTGTAGCTTTGCGTTTAACAACAGTGGTGAGAGGAGTACACATAGTTCGTTGTGTAGCTTTGCGTTTAACAACAGTGGTGAGAGGAGTACACATAGTCCGTTGTGTAGCTTTGCGTTTAACAACAGCCATTTTTATTTTACCGTGATGCTGCCAAGGTTTTTCTCAGTGAACATAAAATTTATGTCTCGAAAGAATTCAAAGTCATCACGTTCTTAGAAAACTTTCACAAATTCATAAATAAACAACTTTAATTTTATCAACGATGTATAAGTACTTGGAATTTCTCACAAGTTGTAATAAACAGTTCAAACCTATTTTAAAACCGCACAGAGCATATTAATGCACAGGTTGAAGCCCATTTAAAATACAAAAGAAAACTGTCCTATTTTTTAAAAAAATCTTTTAACTTACCTGGATGCCCGGCATGGCCAGGTGGTTAGGGCGCTCTACTCGCAATGATGACTTCCCTCTAGCCTTACAATGCTTAATTAGGGACGGCTAGCACAGATAACCCTCGTGTAGCTTTGCAAGAAATTCATAATAAACAAACAAACTTACCTGGAATCGCTTAGGGATTAAAAACTGTAAGTTTGATTAGAATGTATTGTTCTCAGTGGTAATAAGGAAGCCGATTAACATTAGGACTTGGTTTCAGATGATTACTTGTAAGTCTCTATTTTATATGTGATGTTTCCGTTGATGACGGTGATAAATTGTAAGGCTAATACGGTCATTTAACACTGACGAGAAGAATACCGTATTTTTCGGAATATAAGACGCACCCTTATTTTCAAGACAAAGTTGTTGTTTTTTTGGGAGGGGAAGCTTCAGTCGCATTTGAAAGATTTTTATTGAACAAAAATTCAATTTGATACTTTAAAAATTATTGTATATTGTCCTAAACACAAAAGAGCTCAAAACATCAAAATAAGAAAATATCGTAAATCAAAAAAAGGTTTACTGTTATTTAGTTTGGTTCAATAGCTACAAAATCTTCATTGCTTTTAATGTAATTCATTTTTTTATTATTTAGGGAGCATTATAAATAGTTATGTTTTTAAAAGAAACAAAATACTATTGTTATAAATAGCACATTCAATTGAACTAAACTATGCATGCCTATTGAAATATATTTACACATGGCTTGTGTATATCGTATATATACATATATATTATTCATACCTTCGGTGTATAGGACGCAAGCAGATTTTGACATCAAATTTTGGGGTAAAAAAAGTGCGTCTTATACACCAGAAAATACGGTAGTTTAAAATTGAAATGAGAATGTTAATCTAATGGAAAAACTGTGTTCAGAGAAACAGCATAAACTAGGAAAAATCTCAGGTTCATCGAAATTTAAATAATTGAAGAATCTTCAAGAAATATGTCAAACATTTACTGATTTATGACTGAGAGTACCAGGATAATTCATCATATACAGTTTGTAAATCAACAAAACATCGTGCTAAATATCATTTCCTTGTTTATTTTATTACAATAATCTTAATAGAAAGATGATTCATTATTTGTGTGTTAATATGTATCTGTGTGTATGTATATATGTATGTGTTAGTATCCATCACCTAGAGTTGGCTGTGACTCATTTACCATAATTTTGGGTTTGTTAATTAATTAGAAACTATCTAACAGTTTAAGTGGGCTATCTTGTTTCAGGATTTTTGCCCAAGAAGGGCAGATAAAAACGCCATAAAATAGGTCGCATTTCCAGTTTTTAAATTTAAGGCTTTTGGCTGTGACTCATTTACCATAATTTTGGGTTTGTTAATTAACTAGAAACTATTTAACAGTTTAAGTGGGCTATCTTGTTTCAGGATTTTTGCTCAAGAGAGTAGATAAAAACGCC